TAATCGACGAAGCGCACGAGGAGAGTGTGCGAAAGCAACTTCTATGTAATATATATATATATATATAAATGGGTTGGGAGAAAAGCGGTTAAAGTGTAAAAGCAAACAATTAGAAAATTTTATCTATTGGGCCGCTGGAAATAAATGCTCAAATTTAGGCCATTCGTTACCAAAAAAGTAGGCCAAAACGTACAACATTTGACATTTTCAGGCAGTGCATGACTTAAAAACGAACTTTTAGTCCATTTTAAATTTTTTATGTCATGCATGACCTAAAGTTTTGTTTCATCATTTTTCTGGGTGTAGGCTTTAGACAACGATTTCTTGAGTTATTTGCTTTTCATTCACGAATTCTTAAGAAACCGCTTCTCACCGCGGCTGGGGAGTAGCCGCCTTACAAAATATGTGCTGTCTTTTTGAATGTGTTAGAATTAATATTATTTTAACAACAAAAAAATAAAGCCTTTGTCTTTTTTTAGCAAATCGTAGAAGACTACTTTATTTTTGTTACAAAACACGAAACTTTAAAATTCGATTAGCATTGACCGCTTAGTTATTTCTTTATGTAAATTCCCAAGACAATGCGGTCTATCACGGATAATTTTTTCGCGAAATAAAGGGGTGGGCACCGTGAGCTACAGCATTACTCTCAATTTGGCCCACTGTGCCTGGACACGACCTTCTCACTACCCATTTGCGGTAGCTCCATATACATACATACCTAAAGATAGAGCAGTACATGCGCTCCGGCCGGACAACTACAGCCCTCCTGCGGTCCACCAACTACTCCCATCACCCATTCATAGACGCTTATCGGAAAACAACCACCAACATTTGTCTATTTGCACACAGTCGCGCGGTGTCTTGTGTTCCTTTTCACGAGTAGACTCAGCCCACTTTTAATGTCGTCGTTTGCCCAACTGCCGTCAGACAGTTTCACCCACTCGCTGCTAGCTGCCGCCTATCTTTTTCTCGTGGCTTTGACTACCTCAACTGCAAAACGCCGCCGCGCCACTGAACGACATTAAACCTGACTTTGCCTCCTACCTTTGCCCGCCCTCCCTCTCCTTGTGGCAGCCGATTCAAAGTCAAAATCATACCAACAGGCAAAACGAACCGATCCGATCCGATCCGAAGCAAACCAAGCCAAGCTAAGCAAGGCAAACCAGACTGGCAAAGAAAATCCAACAAAATACTGTTATGTCCGTGCACGGTGAAAAACATCAACTTCGAAGCTAGTCAACTAAACGTATTGTTATACCCGTTACTCGTGGAGTAGAAGGTATCTAAAAGGTAGAAGGAAGTGTTTCCGACCCCATAAAGTACATATATTCTTGATCAGGATCACTAGCCGAATCGATCTAGCTAAGTCCGTCTGTCCGTCCGTCCGTATGAACGCTGAGATCTCGGAAACTATAAAAGCTAGAATGTAGGGATTTGACATGTAGGCTACTGGGCTTCCTGCGCAGTGCAAGTTTGTTTCAGCGGGGTGATACGCCCATAATCGCCCATACCTCTAAAACCCGTCTAGCGCTCAAATTCCACATTAATATTTTGTAAAAATTTAAATGGTACTTTGTTCATATTATTAATACCAACAATTATTCATCCGTTCATAAAAAAGTTATAACCAAACTATAATTAATAATTAGCAAGCTCAACAGAGTGCGAGAGGGATGGAGATATATTCACACAGAAATTGGGCTGCTTACGAAATTTCACTAGCGCCACCTAGGTTTCACGTTATGTGGCGTGTTAGAAAAATCTCGTAAACAGAGTAATTGGTGTCTGATAGTCAAGGCCCTCTACTAACGTTTTCTCTTTTTGTTTAATGCTTTTAAGCTACGATTGACAGAACTATCATATTTAATTTTTTAATATAACCTTTATTGGTCATCAAAATCACATTTTTTGAACGTTCGTCAAATGTTCCTTAGCTTGCTGGCCGGTTTTTTGCAGTTTGACTTAATCTGAACGTATTTTTCTCGGTGCCTCTGTGTCGTCGTGTATGCATCTTAAAAGTTCAGCCTGGTGGTGAGGAGGCGAAGTGTTGTGGAGCAGATTGGTGCAGCCTGTCTATGGGCAAGAAATCAAAAACACCAGGCACCGACAACAACAACCATCGGCTGCGTTGTCGGTCTCTCGTTCAGTGGATTTGTGTGCCTTCGCATAAATTTTGCAGCTTGTGCGACAGGCATGTAGACAAGTTTTTCTCCTTTGTTGTTTCTTCTTTTTCTAGCCAGCTATCTCGCTCGCCAGTTGCACACAGATACACGCACACATAGACCAGAGGCTTGGAGAGTGGTGCACAGATACATTATGTATCTGTGCGCTGCAACAACTGTTGGTTTCGGCTTAAATGGTGTTATCCCATGGGATAAGACAAATTGGAATGAACTAGCTCCGATCTAGAGCTAACTAATTGGAATTGGATGTATGGAAGAATCTTGGATAATTTCTGGAAAATTGTTTTGTATTACAGTTGTTGACTATTGATGAAAATGTACTTATCGAAACCACGTGAATAAGTTTTTTTTTTTTTTGGATCAAAGTTGAAAAATATTTTAAAGCAGAACTCATAAAATACGTGTTGTGCCCTCCCTTAAATGACTGATTTTAACCTACGAAATATCTAATCACTTTATTTATATCTAAATAAATGACAGCTTATTATTCATCATAGTTAACTTTAACTTTTATTAATCTTTCAGTGAAGGCAATGGCTTGTTCCTTGCGACCCATGCAATTTTATATTACATATACATAGCTGCCTCTTTTCTATTTCTTTTATTTGCCGGCGAACTACCCCAACAAACGGCATACACATGACATCGGTCGGCCCGTCCATCACCCCCGCAGCTAGACAAACTCTCTGTCGCACACATTCAGATCCTCAGATACATATGTATATGTATAGCGAAACACGTTGCACTCATACTCTAAATAATTGCTCCAGTGTACTACTGAACTGAGAGTCGTTGGGCAGACTGGCAAGAAGGGAGGGGGTGTAAGAGAGTGGCGGTAAGAACAGGAGGGGTGGCGAAGAATCTGGGGAGTAAAGCGAAGAGCAGAAAAGCCATCATAGACGCAGTAATAGATGGCAGCTGTGTTTGTATTAGTGGCCCCCACACCCAAACAAATAGAGAGGCAAGCGGAGAGAGACCCCTTCTGTAGCTCCCGAGCCACACACCTTCAACCATGTCGTTTCCACTACTCAGCTGTCATTGTTGATATTTTGTGTTTTCATCTTGAACTTTTGTGGTTCAATGTGTCTAGCCAACCCCAAACAGGGCGAAATTCACCACATGCTCACGAACATCCCCCTCACCGCCCCCACCAACCCATACCCCTGCACTATTTCGCTAGCATTTTGCCGGTTTTTCTATGCGTATGCGTAGAGAGCGAGAGAGGGACTCCCAGCTCTCTTTTGGGTTTTCCTCTCTCGCTCTGTCCAATGCAATTCTCTATTGCATTCTACACTTGAACTTGCCCATCGTCAACTCAACGCACACAGGGACATATGTACAATAACACGTACCGATGGGTCGGTTGAGCGGCGGGGGCAGTGGGCAGGTGGGGAGGGATGGGGTAAACAATTATTTGCAGCAATGTGTACGTATCTGTATCTGAGTATCTCGGTTCGCTTGGCGCTTACTTTTTAACCACAATGTATTCGAAATGTGCAATTTACGAGTATATGTACATCGCCCAACAGACGGGGGTATTGCGTGTGTACGTACTCATAGATACTTTTGTGCCTTATGCATGGTTTGCGGTAGATTGATCTCCGTTCGGTTTGCCCTGGTGATCTTTTTTCGTTTCCATCAATTACGTCCAGCAGTTTCTATATTATACCCGACTTCAGTTGGCTTCCCCTTGCAACGAATCGGAAGGTGTACAATTCGTTAAGGCCTTCGGAGGACTCTGTAAGGTTCTCTGACACTATAAGGGTCTATTACTCATTCTTTTGATGCGACACTGTATATTTGGTCACCTGCACATTTACATATTCTATTTTTTTTTAGATCTGTAAGTATCAACAATTGATCAAGTTCAAGATTAGATATTTTTGTAAGTACTATGTGTAAATTTGTGTATGTTTAATGTACATAACACTTCTCTAAAAGTATGTATGCAAGTATTTCTTAACACGAAATAACCAAAACTGACTTGCTTACGAAATAGCACGTTAGTAAGCTGAAACTCTCTTTGAAATTACACTTGCTGCCCCCAAAAATTTGAACCAAACAATCGACTTGGAACTCAGAGAATAATGAGTGATTTTCGACTAGAGTTATTCTTCACTTACTTTCCTAATAATACAACCAAAAATGCATTCGATTAAATCACTTTTTTGGTCAAGAAACTGAGATCGTTGGTATTCTTTTATGATAATGCATCCAGAATGTTTTCCGGTTGGCAATTTTTCAAACTCACATCAAGACCCTTTTGTCCCACTGTGCGAGTATATTTCGAATGTACGTGTGAATTTGCACTTGTGCACCCGAATGTAGTGACGAACAAAAATCAACGAAAGAAAACACAGTAAATAAGTGAAGGAAACCGAAAATAAAGGCAGGGCGAAAGGAAAGCGATGATGGCACTCACATACTCGAGCAATGTGGGCTGCTCACGCATACAGGCTGGCACACAACTCACAGATATAAATACTCACGGACACAGAGAGAGAGACATGGGGAGAGAACAAAGAGTATCTTGGGATTGCATCGGCATTTTTCATTCAAGCCGCTCGCTCAGAGTGCCGTGCCTTTATGAGTGAGTGCTGCCCTCGCTTCACATTCAACTTTAGCGCCGATTACGCTTTTGACTCTCGCTCTTTTGCGGCTGGCCCTCTCTCCGCGCGCTGGTATGCGTGCGGTGCGAGTGAGAGTGTGTGGTGAGTTCGTTCGCGACTGAGCGACGCCGACGATTTGGAGGTGGTTTGCCACTGGGAGAGTTTACGTTTAACATTCTGTTCGTCTCGCTCATTGATTTAGTATTTTTTTGGACTTTGTTGTTAACGGTTGCTTTCTCGCAAGTCCGACGCCCAAACGCGATCGCCTAAATACACAATACAATAGGAAACACAACTCGAAACACAATACCTACCAATACGGTTTCCCCAAATACCGAACGTTTTAAACAAAACCCAAAATGTTGCAACCAAATAAATTAATTGTTCAAATTGCCTATACCCTTCTATTTATAAAAAATGATTAGAAAAGTCCCAAATAATACCAGCCTTCCTCAAAAACAACAAAAAAACAAGTGCAATTCATCGGCAGATATAAAATAAAGTGCAAATGCATTGTATCTGAACCTCAGAAAGTAGAAAAATACATATGTGTGTAGTGAAGAAAGGGGAGGAAATAGTTCTTTAAATAACGCAAATCAAGAGCATGTATTCATATTTATATAGATATTATACAGCGGCTGCATAGTGCAAATCGCGGATAAAGGAATTCGACGGGACCGAAATGTAAATAGGAGAGATTCCCGAAGCAATTCAACGGTGAAAGCAGGAACAAACAAAACACAGAACTCGAAACCAAACATCAACAAAGCGGCGCACAGACACTTAGACATTAGTCTAGTCGTCGTCTGTGGAGTGTCGTAGACATTTTCCGCATCCCAATATAATCTCAAATATAGTGCGCGAGTGAGAATAAGGGATTTGTGTTAAGAATCCCTTTTATACAAATATAGTGAAAAGATATTTACCGAAATTCCGAATAGTGCTTTGCCAACAGGAATATCTTCCATTCAAGAACACAGTGACCCCATGGATACTTGTGGATTAGTAGCAGAACTAGCGCACTATATTGATGCATATGGTGAGTTCTGGGCACCTGAAAATCCAATAGAACCAACTGACTCGTTTTCCATAACAACATTTTGTGGTCAACTGCTAGGGATAGATGTGAATTGGGCAACAAGTTCGCCGTTCCGCAAAAAACCATCTTTGAATTTTTTTGCCCCTAATGTGTTTGTTTTGGCTAACTTGCCACCTCTCACTCGAGGTGACCCAAATCAATTAGCAGTCGAAATGAAAACTACATTACCGAGATATACAGGGCATAAGCAAAGAAGGGTACATTTAATAAAAATAAATGTACACATGTTCGGGGATGGCCGTCCGATTGGTAACACATTAATTATTGTCATGACAAGTGACGGACGGCCAATTAAAAAGTGAGCGCTGAAAATTATAATTTCGCCTGCGTGAACATAAATAAATACAAATCTTTCGGGGCGCTGTAGTTCGATTTTTATAGGGGAATTTATATGGGTCTAGGCAACCACTTGACTGCGTAATTGGCATGGATATCCATAAATACACCCTTAGGTTAATATTCAAGTGGGTTTTGATTTGGCTCTGGCAGTCGATTTATGCAAATATTCTGTTGATGAGGTTTAATTCGGTGTAAATCAAATTGGTTTTGTTGAGTGGCGGAAGTATGTTCAAGAACAATATGATAGAGTTTGAGAAATTAATATGAGAAGTAACTGCAGAGGGGAAAATTAAAAAAAGGTTAATTTACATTCAAAATTTAAAAAGCGAATGGCTGGCCTATTTCTAGGGAGTCGAATATAAAAATGTCTTAATATTTATAAATTCGCTTTTATTTTCATGTTTTTTCTTATCCATCATTGAGTTTTTTAAAGATATATTTTAGCTTTTAAAAAAAAAACAAGAGTCGACGGCCTCGACTTTCAGATACCCGTTACTTGGCTAACAAAAAAGCGCCACCTATCGTTCATTCCTATCGGCTGTTTACTGACACGCCACATAACGTGAAACCTGGGTGTGAAATTTCGTATGCACCCGATTTTCTGTATGATTATATCTCCATACCTCTCGGACTCTATTGATCTTGATAATTATTAATTATTGCTTGGTTATAACTTTTTTATGAATGGTCTGATTTTTTTTTTGTTCAAATTTTCAATACCCATCCTCATGCCAAAAATTATTCAAATCAGAAAATCAAAAAAACAACGAGGTCTTACTTTTTTCCATTATATATCAGATTCCTTCTTTGGAAACAATCGGATTCCGCATGCAACAGAATAACAACTTTTGGGGAATGTTTTAGCACGATAGTTTGAAAACTAAGAGACTACTTTGCGTAGAAGCGGGCGAACGGACAGTCGGACCTCTGACTAATATTATAATACCCTCTGGCAGGGTATAAAACCGACTGTATAAACTCTAGTCTTTTATTATAATTTTCAAGTTCAATGATTTTCTCTTTAGAAAGTTAGAGTTCTTACAAATTAATAATAATTTACGATATTTTCCTTTCAGTTTTAACAATGTTACCATTCAGAAATACATTTGAAAGCATATTTATATTACAAACTACTTTTGTGACTATTGAGTTAGTTTTGAATTCACTTTAGTTTTCTCATCGTAATTTAGGCCTAAAATAAGCAAGACCTCTGATGTCTCAGATGTGTTTGGGTTTTAATAATTTTAGGCGCCTAATGGGGCATTAGGTAACATCGTGGCATCAGCTCTAAAATAAGGTCCCCAACATTAGTCAGACTCTCCCACAATTAATTCGCCCAGCCCCCCGTCGTTGGCCTTCGTTTCCTGGGCGGGAGTGGTTAAAGTTTCTACTTATTATTATTTTGTTCTTATTTTTTGTTCTTCTCTTTCACGTCCCTTTCTCTACCGCTTTTTCACATTAAATTATTCGCTTTTTCTCCTTTGCTACACTTTCTGGACACTAAGCAAACAACACAAAAAGTTACTGGTTTCCTTTGGCGTCGACGTCGTCATCGTCTTCGCCGCTGTTGTTTGTGTTTTATGGTACATTAAAGTTGGCAAAATGGCAAATTTTAATGCGATTTTATGCAAATATATAGACACATGTATGCCTTTACATGGGACTTAGTGTTTTGCGAGCCATGCCGATGTTTTTTGACTGGGTCCTCGCTGCAGTCTCTGTTCGAGGTTCTGGGCTTCATGGGCGAGTTTATATCATTATATGACACTCGGAAGTTGTTTAGGTCGTTTCTGTAACTTTTTAGAGTAACACGAGTAGCTGGATAAGAACAAACACTGGAGTACCCGCCACATATTGCCATCTTAGAGCATTAATTTTATAACTCAAATATTTTAATGGTAGAGTTGTTTACCTTTCTGATAACCTCAGCATAGCTTTGCTAGGACTGAAAACACACAAACTTAAATGGCCCTGGATAATTTGACCATCTTATTTATTAGTAAGTACTTAAAATCGTCAACCCCAATCACACTTCACACGGCACGTCATAACTTTTTCCAAAGTGAAACATGCAACTACATAAAAACTCCCATTCAGCAAGGTTCGATGTAACGTCGGCTAGGAGCGGCCTTATCGAAGGGTCCCGACCAGTGGGTCATGATACAGAGCACTACCACCATTTTCCCAACCCTAGATGACAGTTTTCGGCCGGGAAATGGAATGGCAAACAGGTGCCTTTTATGTGCTCTTGTTGCAATTGCATTGAGTATCTTATCTGGTCGGACTTTTTCTGGATGACTTCCATGTCCGCTCGGGTTCTGGGACCAAATGCTTGTATGTGAAATTAGCATGTCGCCTGCATATGTACGTGCATACTTATGTGTATATACATAGCATTTCAGCTTGGAACGAGTTGATTTCTCTCCCATCGCGCTTGTAGACTTTCACAGGCTAGCAAAATAGTCAAGATGGCAACACTTTCGCAGACAGTTGTCGGTGACGAAGATTTTCTTAGACTTATCACAATTTTCTTGGTTAGTTGATTAGCCGAGCAACGCAAAAATATAGGTGTAACACATACATAAACTAGTTTAAGACTAGTGCTTTGGCAGACTTTTATGTTAACAACCTTGGCACTGACATTTTTCATATAACTTATAAAACTTGTGACTAATGGCAAAAAATGACAAAAAATTTCGCTTTTTTTAGTGTTTCGTGTAATTTTTTTAAAATATGTTTGATTAGATCCGCACGATCGAACCGTTAGTACTCTTCGATCTTCGATTTTGTCTGTAGACATTTTGTCACACTGCCTTGTCATTCGGTATTCGCTTCAATGTGATATCTTCGCTGCCGAAAAGGTCAGGCAATCAGTCAGATCCACATATGCAAATGTTATTATCGATTATAAATGCAAATCGTAGACGGCGCAGAGTGGTAAGAGAGAGATGCCGCTTAACCGGAAAAGGAAATGATAGAAGCGTATTTTTTAAGCCGGGCCAATCAACCTCAAACAGTTGTCCTAAACTTGGAACCAACTGTGACGCGTCGCTTGGGGTTTTTCCTCTTGGCTGCTAATATTTACTTTATATTTGTAGATAGTTTGCTGACGCTTCAAGGCTGTTTGACTGTTATGTGCTTATAAAGTACCCACGGCTCTGAATTAGCGTTTGCAGCCTTTTATTTATTAATTTGATAGGCTATTAATTGAAACGCATGCCCTGAAACATATTTTCGGTTGAAAAGAGCCGAAAACGGGCCATTGCCAAATGCTATAAATCTTTTTCGGGCATTGTATTAAAAAGTTTCTATCGCTTTTCGACTCTATTGCTAATTGATTTTGGGGGCAAAGACGTGGCCTGTGGAATTGAATAGAACATCTTAATTGTTCTAAGGACTCTGGGAGATCCGGCATGTGGAACAGATCTGACTGGGAATCAGAACAGCTGAATGTATACTTAAGAGAAAAGTTGAAGAGGCTTTTATTGAGAACTTGGGTTCCATGTTATTGCCGAATTATGGAAAATAGCTAATGCTACAATGAAAGTTTTAATGTTTTAAAAAGTAACTACCTCCAAGAAATATTTTTTAGAGTCGCTGATTCGCTTGCATCGACTGAAGCGAGCTTTTTTGGTTTGGTCTTAAGCCAAATATTGGATATGTGTCAATTGAATGGCATAATTGTTTAACCGAATCAGCAAACTAAAAGGGAAAACCACCGACAGAATAAAGTCAGTGGTACCAACATACAGCCAACTGATTTCGCGGAAAGCAAACGTTGACCTGTTTTGGGTTAAATTTGTTTGTGGTGGGTAGTGGGAGAAAGATAGGTGGAGATTCGGACAGAATCTACCGTTAGGTTTTCTGCAGTTTGATTGCGATATGGATATACTCGTCAGTCTAAATTGTTGGCCCAGACCTCTTCCGGATTTTTCTTAAAGTTTTGCATTAGTTGTGCGAAATGTGGAAATAAACTGTGCGAGTACCACAAGAAAAAACCATACATTTTTCTTAGATCTCGTTTTTGTTCCCTGTGAAAGTTTACCTATTTTTTCACAAAACACAAGTTAAAGTATTAAAGTTAGTTAGTGGTTAGTTGCTCAGGGGCTCTTTATAATTTGGTTCTCTTTTCTTTCTCGGGAGAGTTTGTGGGAATGTGTCGCACATGTTCTCCACCGTCCGCATAGTTCCCTCCCTTTTGCCTTCTGAATTGTCAGAAAATGGAAATCACGCGGCGCTGGCTCTGCAGGAAAATAACAGCAGGAAATTAAAAGGATCCGCTCCTAGAAGTATTCGTACTCGAAGCGATGTGTGATGGGGATTTGTGTTTGTGGGCCTATTGTACCTACTGGACAAGGCGGCAGCGGATATTTAATTGTTTTCACTCTACACGAGTGGGAGGAATGGCCACTGGCATAAATGCCCACCACCCATCGGTTTCAGTGGCGTGTACAGCAATTGTTGGCGTTGTCGCACTGTTAATAAAGTTTATTGCATTCGAGAACGCTGTTTTGGGGCAGTTGGTGGCTAGGAGAAGGACGTGGCAATCGGATGTCGCGTGCCAGTCATTGACATACTTTAGCAGTGGAAACGTTCCAGCAGGATATCCGTAGTATAATCGGGGGTCAGTCAGTTTTTGGGGTTAACTGGGTTAAGTCTTCAATCAATAGAATTCGAAGGGAGTACATACTAGATGTCTTCCGCTTTCTTAATTTATTTGCGACTTAATAATCCCCTAGGCAATATCATCGAATGAGTACTTTAACTCAAGTTTCCAAATATGTTCAAGGTGTATTCAATCTTTGCCTGTTGCTGCTATACTGTCATGTTAATCAGATGCAAACGATTTAGGATTTTCATGATGATCTTCGGAGTTAATTAGGCGCAGATCCTATCCAGATAATATCAGACCTCGATTTTGTGGCTCAGCTCTCATGGGAGGGAAGTTGTACAACTCCCGACCTGTTGACTGTTGGAATTCCCATTAGGTGTTCTACGATTCTAAAAATTGGTGTATGCTATTTCCGTCTCCCCATGTGGTTTTCCATCACTCGAGGCGTGACAAATTTTTCAGCCGGCAGAAGAATTTTCCGGGTTGTTTTACTTCCTCCCGAACTGCTACTTAAGATCAAACGAATAGACGGAAAGGGAGCTGGCGAAAGGTAGTCATCTGAGCTTGCGCGTTTGGCTTTTCGACTTTTTTCACGGCTTTTGTACTCCAACCTGAGCCCCGGGAGCAGAACAGAAGACAGGGAACCCGCAGAAAGTGTAAACTGGGCAAAACAAAAGGGGAGCGCAGCAGAGAACATTAGCAGCGACCAGTAAGACAGCAAAAATGCCATAAATGTCGCTTACACTTGTATGTACGTACCGCAGCGCATCTCGCTCATATACAGCCCGTATATAAGGTACATATAGTGTATGCGATAAATACGCGCTCCGCTGGCTGCCTTTTCTGATGTTTTCAGAAATATTTTTGTAGACAACAAAGCAAAAACGCCAAAGAACAACCTGTTTGTATTGTTTTTGTGTTGCTGCCCGACGAATTCAGCCGGCAGCAAAGTTGGCAGCGAGGGCGACAGGTTTTTTCCTTAATGCGGGCCAAAATCTCACGACCCCACCTCCCATTCCCTCCCCCAAGCAAGCTTAGACTAGTCTTCCCTTTTCTTCTGGCTGTTTCTTAGCGATTATTCTTCTTCTTGCGCCTGATCGTGATTCTTTTCGATTTTGCGCTAAGCTTTCGTGATGGCATGAAACCTGTTTTTGGTGCTTTATAGCACAAAGAGGCGAAAAGTTACAGACTTTTGCTTTATTATCACTTGAATCTTTCCCTCTCGTTATTGCTCGCCCGGTCTCTTAATGGTAGGTGGCCCATAAAAGAGGAGCGCTCGGGAAAGGAGAGACTTGGTTTGAAGCCGTCGATATTCGGTACGCAAAATAATGATTCACCTTTAAGTCGTAGAATGAGTCATGATCGGCCTGCATTGCAAAGCTAATCGAAGTGCAAAAGTTTTACTCTTCAAGATTTTTATAATCCACATCTCCCACTGACCTGACCATGACTAATCGCTTAACAATTTTCAACGTAGTTTATGCCGGCTGCATTTAGTATTTATGTCAATTGCCTCGCTTATCAATACACGTTCACTAATTAAGTGTCAGCAATTACCCGATCTTAAAATCAGACGATTATGTTAAGACGGTAATGAGAAGATTGCCCAATAATAAATAGAAAGCCAACTTAACAATGGACTTTACTTAAATGTGTTGGATTGAAACGGAAATCCAATCATCCTTTTAGTAATTTAAATATTTTGTATACAATCTGTACGTGGATAGAAGAACTTGTTTTATTCTTATTACAACACTAAAACCTGCATTCAAGAAATAAATCTGAAAATCGAATTTTACCTTGGGTAGTAAACTGTTTAGGAAGCGCATGTTAGGACAGACAGTTTCTAAAACTGTCTAGATCCCCTCAATTCCTTGCCCAACTGCTTTGGCTACATTTTTGAGCTACAAAATCGCATTGGACATAGGTGATGGAACAGAAACGATTGTCAAGACATAAAAACACATAAAAAATGTTCGCTAAAAGGGAAATAAAATTGATTAGTTAGGAAGTAAAAACCACCTCTGTTTGAAATAATAGATATGCTTGGAACAAAAAACATAGAACAGATCTAAATTCTGTAGAAATTTGAGTACAAGGTACAGAAAGACCATTCATTTTGGCGACAAATAGGTGTTCAAGACTCGCAGGGTCCATAAATCGCAACTCGAGTGAAAAAAAAACAAATCATTGTTTAGTAAAGTAAAGATATTTATTCTGCTTTCGGACCGACTCATATACATATGACAATAAATTTAGTTGGAGATGTCCAATCAAATGTTTGCAATCTCTGCAGAAGAGTTCGCGCTAAACGAGCTGGAGATTTCCGCGCACGATACGCAACATGTGTCGGGCCGACCTGGGGTTGATCTATTCAAAAATTAGGTATTCCTTTCGGCTGGGTAAGCTCACTTCTCTTGTCGCTTTGCTTTAGTTCAGCGCCGTGTTCAAGGTAGAGTGAAAATTTGCAATTAAATTAAATGAAAATTTCATGAGCTTGCCCCCGCCCAGGTGCGTTGAACCGTCTCGTTTTCAGTGTGACCACAAAATGTTGAAGGAACCTCTCGAATCAAGCGGAGAACGGGTTTACCTGGGACACTTTCGACTCATCCTTATGGGTTGTACCCGCTCTTTATTGCAGCACTGACTATTCCGAGTACTAAATGAGCAGGAATTGGTTCGAAAATGTATTTTGAACGCAAGCAAGTGCGCAAAAAATACTAGATCAGCCACAAAACTCCAGAAAACACCGCCAGAAGTAAGCAGACTCTCGGACCACACTACCGAGCAACAGAGGATCTTAGGAGGAGGAAGCGTTCTCCACATACCGACAAACTGCCAGGGACAAGCCCCTTGTCCCCAGCCGACGCGTAGTGATCTGAGAAACGGCCCCAAAACGGCGACCATCGGCTACCAGAGGATGAAGCGGCGCTGGTCAAACAACGGCGGCTTCATGCGCCTCCCGGAGGAGTCCTCCTCCGAGGTCACTTCCTCCTCGAACGGGCTCGTCCTGCCCTCGGGGGTGAACATGTCGCCCTCGTCGCTGGACTCACACGACTACTGCGACCAGGAGCTCTGGCTCTGCGGCAACGAGACCGGTCCGTACGGCAGCTCCAGCGGCAACGACCTGAATCAGCAGCAGCAGCAAAGCGTCATCACGCTGGCCATGCAAGGCTGCTCCAGCACCCTACCAGCCCAGACGACCATCATCCCAATTAATGGGAACGGGAATGGAAGCTCCACCAATGGCCACTATGTGCCGGGTGCCACCAATCTCGGTGCGTTGACCAATGGCCACGGGATGCTCAATGGGGGGCTCAACGGAATGCAGCAGCAGCAGCAGATGCAGAATGGCCATGGCCTCATCAACTCCACAACCCCCTCGACGCCCACCACTCCGCTCCTCCTGCAGCAGAACCTGGGAGGCGGGGGCGGTATCGGCATGGGCCTTCTCCACCACACGAATGGCAACTCCAATGGCCTCATCGGAGTGGCGGGAGGCGGCGGAGGAGTCGGAGTGGGAGGAGTGGGAGGCCTGGGGATGCAGCACACGCCGCGAAGCGAATCGGCGAATTCCATTTCATCAGGTAAGACCTGTAGGTCACAGAGAACGCTTCACAGTTCAGTTAAACAAAAACCACTTTAAATCTAACTTTAAATAAAATGTTCCGTTACCTGTATGATAAACGGTTAATACTAAGCGTTATACCTCTGCAATCCTTTCATTATAGCGTTTTTAGTTGAATTTTAGTTATAGGGTCCAATTTTTGTTCCCGTTACTGGTAGAGTAAACGATTCGTCGGAAAGTATGTAACAGGTAGAATGAAGCGTTTCCGACCACATATTCTTGATCAGGATCACCGGACGAGTCGATCTATCCACGTCCGTCTGTCCGTATGAAAGAGCTAGAATGTTGGGACTAAGCATGCAGATTCTTGTGATTCCAGCGCAGCGCAAGTTTATTTCGGCAAGGTAACATGCCCCCAAACACCAATTTTTAATATTTTTGTAATAATTTAAGTGACATGTTTCTCTTTTTATCAATAGCCCTCTATATGCTAAAAATTATTTAAATCGGACCATTCAAACAATAATAAAAAATTAACAATTTCAATAGAGTGCGAGAGGGATGGATTTATATGTTAATACAGAACATTTTTTGCTTACGAAATTTCACTAGGGCCACCTAGGTTTTACGTTACTTGGCGTGTTAGTAAAATCTCTAAAACATCCCATAGGAATGAACGATGGATGGCGCTTTTTTGTTATCTGAGTAAGGGGTATCTGATAGTCGAAGCTGTCGACTATAGCGTCTTATTTTATTTATTTTGGATTTTATAGATTAATGAAAATGGAGGATAGACTTTTCTTGAAATTGAGATGGTTATCAGAAAATTTCGTATAAACGTCATGAAAATATTGCGATATCTGCATATACCATTATCTTGACCTTCCGTTAAATTGCACAGGTTTGTGTTAAATACTTCCGTAATTATCTCATTTGGTGTATAACGTCCAGGTTGTGTATCTGGGGTGCATGGCTTGCTAATTGTATTTTATTTCACGAGCGCCTTTTATGAAGCACTTCTTATGGCATTTCCTTCGGTTCTTGTGGATCTTACTGGGGAGTGCAATCAACACGCACACAGGCAGCCAGCATTGTTGCTGGGCACTATCAGCTGCGTCATGGAAGAGTGCCTTTCATGTGGACGCTGCACCGGGCCATGTGAACCCATAAGGGCGGTTTGGTGGCCTTTTCGCTGCTGCTTGTGCTGATGCAACGCTCGTTGTCGAGCTCAAACCTACCTCAAGTCGTTCTATATTTAGGGCCTCCCCGCAGGGAGCAACTGGAGAAGGGGGTACTAAGGGAATGCTGCTTCTTTCCTTGCCGCGTTCCTCGGCTCCTCGACTTCCATTCCTGCTTGCGTTGCAACTGCAATTGTTGAGCAGGGCATGGTGAAGTCACCTCGGGCGTTTCGTGCTCGCCGTTGCTCGTGGTTGTGGCACTGACCTCGTGCCAAATGGGGAAACGAGGTCAGGTCAGGAGCAGAAGCAGAAGCAGAGGCAAAAGCAAAGGCATTGGCAGAAGGACACCATTTGCATTTGACCCAAATTGAATGGGGACGTGGGCGGGAGTTCAAGGCCAGTATCTGCAATCGATTGCGTCTTCGTTGTCGTCTGGGTCATGGCTTTGAGTTTGTCTCTGTGCTGGCCAGGGCCTGCATACCAGGTCAAGGATGGTCTGGGATACGATATTAGTATATGCTGCTGCTTTCATAGTGACAGTCCGAGTTGCAGCAGGCCCTCTTATTAGCGTTTAAAACTTGCATTCGAAGGGGAGATGAGAAAAATTGAATAGTATCATGGTTCAAATTCCCATAAATGTTGGGTTTCAAAATTCATTTTATCTGTACTCTTTCTCTTTGTTGGAAACTAAACAAGGTGTTTCATATTAGGGATACTTGAGTTATAAAAATTCGACTACAAGTGCGGAAGGCTTTTCCTTGGGGTACCTAGCTCTCCATATCTGATACAATTCTTTAAGTTGCATTCCTGCAATGCTATTCGTTCGAATTTTCGTTGAAAAACATTGTTCTTGTTTGCATAGTGCAAACAAGATAAGAGACTGTCCCAGATCCCAATATTCAATTAAACCACACTATAAGAACTACAAAAACAAATTTGATGAAAACTACTGACATTTGTCAAACAATAAAAAAATCGTTATATTTCGTTTTCGCCAAAACGTAAAAGCTATTAAATTAAAATGTAACATTATCTTGATACTTCTGTGATTATTTTCATACGCGTTAATCGTAGAGGAAAAGGGTTAACTAGGTTCGTCGGTAAGTTTGTAAGAGGTAGAAGGATGCGTTTTGAACCATATAAAGTATATATGTATGTATCTATATTCTTAATCAGGATCAGTATTCGACTCGATCTAGCCATCTAGTCTGTCCGACTGTCTGTCCGTCCGTATGAACGCTTATATCTCGGAAACTATAAAAACTAGAAAGTAATAACTTTTTTTTTAGCAGTGTGCCAAGATCACTGAAACACCTATATCGCTAAAGCCTCACTAGCGCCCACATTTTCAAATATTTTGTAAAAGTGTAAAAAGGGGTATGTTCTGATTATCGATACCCTTCCACAAGTTGTTCAAATTAATATAATCGGAATAGGAATCGACAATAGGTGGCGCTTATGGGAACAGTCGCTTTGCTGCGTGCACATCGCCCTCGCACTCCTCCTAGGTAAAGGGTATCTGATAGTCGATAATCTTTATCTCCTGTTCATTTTCTATTGTCGGAATATACATTGCTCCCTCAGGAACGACCTGCAAGGGTATATAAACTTCGGCTTGCCGAAGCTAGCTTCCTTTCTTGTTTTGCTTTGTTGTTGTAGAGCTAGATTCACCCAAATTTTCAAAGTGGGTCAAAACTGAACTGCAACTAAAACTGGGCCAGACATGAGCAGAAGCCGAAAGAGCCACAAGGACATTGATTGTCGGATCTCCCCCTTTCTTTCGAACAGCCTGCGCTCCCGCTCTCACGAACGTGCTTCACGCAGCAAAAGCTCAAGTACACGACCTTACCCCCTGGAAAAGAGGTATTATTTGAGAGCAGCAGCAACTCGTGTGCGTGTCTTTGCACAACTGCTGCTCGCTTAACCCCATCTCATTTAATTTCATTTCTCTTTCATTCGGGCTGGGTTATTTGCATTTCTTTTGTCCAACTTTCATGGGTCGCTCGACACTCGCACTTCTCTATGACAAAATTAGCTCAAGGAATCCCGATGCTCAAGGACGGCCCTTGCAGATAATGTTGAATAGCAGTTATACAATGGCAAACAATTTAAATAAAATACCAGTACTGGCGAACGATAACGCCAGTTGACAAGTTTTTCTTATTTACATTTTGTTCAGTATTTATTTTTACTTGCACTCGCTCACACCGATGCATTTACCCGCAAGCGCTCGTGTACGTACATGTGCACAGACGCAAGAGTGTGTGTCTGTTCGCATGACGAAAAATTGAGGTCAATGATTTTGTGCCGCCATTTCGCAGTGTTGTTGTTACGCTGCTGCTGTCAGCAATCGACAATCGACAATCGCGATCAGGCGAGCACGAAGCACTTCGTGTGGCAGCGAACCGGAGCGCCAAGAACCCGAGCCCCAACGAGAGAGGGGATCTCTCTCGCCGCCACTCTCTCCCGCTCTCCCAAAAGCTCTCCTTCAGTTGCAACTGCTTTCGCTCTCCGCACACCCACCCATCCACCCACAACCCCCTCCCAAAGCCAGAACCATTGATCCCCAGGTGCTGGCTATTTGGCTTGTTTGTTGTTGCAGTGCGAGAATGTCGCCTGGCATTGATACGTTTCTCTGACAGCCGCTTGACTTTGACTTTAAGCCGTGTTTGTTTTTATTCTAGCCCAACGGTCGCATGGTTGTCATCCGAAATTCCAATGAGTTACCTCTTGAAAACATCCCGTGTGAGCAGGGACCTGATCTCTTAGCATAATCAACAAGTCTATATCCAGCTTTGGCACTTGGATATCCAAGGCTCGGATTTCAATATTTCACGATACACCCACAAGTCACAAAAGTTAAGATTTGTTAAATATATAATAGGTACTCGGTTCAACATCTTTCTATGCCAACAGTTCATTTTAGTCTATATATATATGTGCAGCTTGTTTTTGCTTTCTATATTTCTCAAAGTGATTCATATATCACGAGTATGTGAATAATCTCAACTTGACATTATGCGATGTGCTTTTGTGTGCTGCTTCTTGTGGTTAGTGCAGTGCAGCCAAACAAAATAAAATGATTAGTTATCTCCCTACCTCTCGCTTGCACTACCTCTCTAGGCGAACACGTTATTATAGGTTAATGACACAACCGGCATGCAGCTGTGACTAAGAGCAAGACATCGCCACTAGAAGTGTTTCACAAACATGTGCATGTTAAAATATGTATTACATTTTAAAATGATGAATTCATTGCATGTATGAGTTTCATATTTTCAATTTCTCCAAATACGAGGGAGGATTCAGACTTGAAGCTAATTTATTTTTAATGTTTTAAAATAGGCTGCAATTAATTTCCCTATATTTCAAAAACCGTGTTCAGGATAGTAAGCAATATTCCGAAATATCGGTCCAATATCCAAATATCATTAAAGGGATTTTAACATAGACGCCTATGCGTATTAAGAGAAATTTAAAATTTAAAAAGTTGAAAAGAACGAAATTGAGCTTAAGTGCGATGTACATAGTGTTCATATGTAAAAAATGGTTGCCTTGTCATAACTCTTGCTCCACTGTGCGCCTAAAAATATTATAAATAATTATTAGAGAAAGACCAAACTATGTCAGTAGTGTGTATGCACAAATGTTGTCCAAAATAAAAGCGAAAACAAATTGTGAAATATTTGTGTATAAAAAATACTCACACGCCTGAGCGAATGCGAGTGTGTGCTTATATTCTTGATTAGCCGCAGAGAAAGAAAGATTGAAAAGAGAGAAAGAGAGAGGGCGCAGAAAACTAGATGGAAATAACAAACAAAGACCCGAATAAAGAACAGCC